TGCTTTCTCTGCATCTGTTGAGATGATCATGTGATTTTTATGCTTCATTTTGTTAATGTGGTGTATGATGTTGATTGATTAGTGGATTTTGAACCATCCCTGCATCCCTGGAATAAATCCCACTTGATCATGGTGTATGTTTTTTTTTAACGTGGTGTTGTATTCGATTTGCTAGTATTTTGTTGAGAATTTTTGCATCGATGTTCATCAGTGATATTCGCCTATAATTTTCTTTTGTTTGTGTTGTCCTTGTCTGGTTTTGGTATCAAGGTAATGCTGGCTTCGTAGAGTGAGTTAGGAAGCTTCCCCTCCTCTTCAACTTTTTAGAAGAGTCTGAGAAGGATAGGTATTAAGTCTTCTTTGAATGCTTGGTGGAATTCACCAGGGAAGCTGTCTGGTCCTGGACTTTTATTTTTGGGGAGGTTTTTGATTACTGTTTTGATCTCCTTTCTGGTGATTGGTCTATTCAAATTCTTTATTTCTTCTTGATTCAGTTTTGGAAGGTTGTATGGTTCTAAGAATTTATCCATTTCTTCTAGATTATCCAATTAGTTTGCATATAGCTTTTCATAGACTTTTCTTATAATCTTTTGTATTTCTGAGGTGTCCATTGTGATTTCTCCATTTTCATTTCTGATTTCATTTATTTAAGCATTCTCTCTTTTTTTCTTGGTGAGTCTAGCTAAAGGTTTGTTAACTTTGTTTATCTTTTCAAAGAACTAGCTCTTGGTTTCATTGACTTTTTTCTATTTCGTTTTTTTCAGTCTCTATTTTGTTTATTCATGCTCTGATTTTTATTATTCCCTTCCTTCTACTCATTTGGGGGTTTGTTTGTTCTCTTTTCTCAGTTTCTCTAGGTGCACTGTTAGATTGTTTACTTGAGATTTCTCTTGTTTGTTGAGGTAGGCCTGTATTGCTATAAACTTCCCTCTTAGAACAACTTTTGCTGTATCCCATAAATTTTGGCATGTCGTTTTTTAATTTTCATTTGTCTCCAGGTATTTTTTGATTTCTCCTTTGGCTTCTTCATTGACCTAGTTGTTGTTCAGTAGCATTTTGTTTAATCTACCCATATTTGTGGCTTTTCTGATTTGCTTCCTGTAGTTGATTTCTAGTTTCATACCGTTGTGGTGAAAAAAGATGCATGGTATTATTTTAATCTTACTAAATTTATTGAGGCTTATTCTGTGGCCTAATATGTGGTCTATGCTTGAGAATGTTCCATGTGCATTTGAAAAGAATGTGCATTCTGCACTTTTTGGATGGAATGTTCTGTATGTATCTACTAAGTCCATCTGATCTCATGTATTGTTTAAGGCCGATGTTTCCTTATTTATCTTCTGTTTGGATGATCTATCCATTGGTGTAAGTGAAGTGTTAAAGTCCCCAAGTATTGTTGTGTTGCTATTTCTCCTTTTATGTCTCTTAATAATTGCTTTATATATTTAGGAACTCCTATGTTAGGTGTATAGATATTTACAAGTGTTATATCCTGTTGTTGGATTTTTCTCTTTATCATTGTGTAGTGTCCTTCTTTGTCTCTTGTTACAGTTTTTGTTTTAAAGTCTATTTTGTCTGATATAGGTCTTGCTACACCAGCTTTCTTTTCATTGCCATTTGCATAGAGTATCTTTTTCCATCCCTTCACTTTCAGTTTGTGAGTGCCTTTAGGTCTGAAGTGTGTCTCTTGTATGCAGCATATATATAGGTCTTGTTTTTTAATCTAATCAGACACCCTGTACCTTTTGATTGGAGTATTTAGTTCATTGACATTTGAAGTAGCTAGTGATGAGAATGTACTTATAGACATTTTGTTACTTTTTTTCTGGGTGTTTTAGTAGTTATTCTCTGTTTCTTTCTTTTCTTGCTCTCTTCCTTTGTGGTTTTATGGCTTTCTTTAGCATTATGTTTCGGTTCCTTTCTCTTAATTTTTTGTGTATTTATTATAGATTTCTTTTTTGTGATTACCATGAGGTTCATCTATAATAACTTACGTATATAGCAATCTATATTTAATTCATGGTCTTTTAAGTTTGACCTCTTGCTAAAAGCTCTGCTCTTTTGCTCTTCTCCCCCCACATTTTACGCTTTTAATATCATATCTAACCTCTTTCCTCGTTTGTGTGTATCTGTTACCCTCTTATCATGGAAAGAGGTAATTTTAGTACTTTTGTCTTTTGACCTTCATATTGTCTCCATAGGTGGTTCATCTGATACTTTTACTGTATTTTTGCCTTTTCCAGTGATTTTATTGCTTTTTTTCTTTGATAATTTTTTTATTCCTATTTGTGGTTTTCTCTTTCCCACTTAAATAAGTCCCTTTAGTATTTCTTCTAAGACTTGTTTCTTGGTGACAAACTCCTTTAATTTTTGCTTGTCTGGGAAACTCTTTATTTCCCCTTCCAATCTGAATGATAACCTTGCTGGGGAGAGTATGCTAGGCTGTAGGTTTTTTTCCTTTCAGCGGTTTAAATATATCGTGCCACTCCCATCTAGCCTGTAAGGTTTCTGCTGGAGAGTCAGCTGATAGCCTCATGGGGTTTCCTTTGTATGTCACTTATTGCCTTTCTCTTGCAGCTTTTAGGATTCTGTCTTTTTTTCTTTAATTTTTAACATTTTAATTATAATGTGTCTTGGTGTGGGCCTCTTTGGGTTTATCTTGTTTGGTGCTCTCTCTGTTTCCTATACCTGGGTGTCTGCTTCCTTCCTTAGGTTAGGAAAGGTTTCAACTTTTATTTCTTCAAATAGATTCTCTGCCCCTTTGTCTCTCTTTTCTCCTTCTGAGACACCTATAATATGGATGTAAGTGAGGTTGACGTTGTCCCAGACATCCCTTAGACTGTCCTCATTCTTTTTAATTCTTTTTTCTTTTATCTGTTCAGCTTGGGTGATTTCCTTTATTCTTTTGTCCAGCTCACTGATCCATTCTTCTGTATCTGCTACTGAGCCCCTCTAGTGAATTGTTCACTTCCTGTATTGTATTCTTTATTTCTGACTGGTTCTTTTTTATATTTTCCAGTTCTTCTTGAAGTTCTCGCTGAGTTCATCCATTCTTCTCCCAAGATCAGTGAGCATCCTTATGACTATTAGTTTGTACTTTTTATCAGGTAGATTGTTTATCTCTGTTTATCTCTGTTTCATTTAGTTCTTTTTCTGAGGATTTGTCCTGTTCCCTTATTTGGAACATATGCCTTTGTCTCCTCATTTTGTCTCTTTACCTGTGTCTCGTTTTACCTATGTCTCCCAATCTTGGAGAGGTGGCCTTATGTGAGAAATGCCTTATGAGGCCCAGCAGTGTGCTTCCCTCTAGTCACTAGTTGCAAATGTTCCAGAAGTGTCCCCTGTGTGGGCTGTATGTGTCCTTCTGTTGTGGCAGGGTTGTTCTTGCTGCAGGTGCCTGGGGAGGCTAGGCAGTCCTTCTGGCAGGCTGATTGTAATGCTCAGCTGTGTGTGGCTGCTATGGACCCTTTGGTCACTTTGTTGGGCATAGGGAGCCCTAGCACAGTTGGCTGCAAGGTCTAATAGCACGTTCCTGTTGCAATTTTTCTGTTCAGTGAGTAGGTCCCCATTGTGGCTGGTTGTTAGGCTCAGGGGCTTACAATTGGTTTAGGCCTTGGCCTGCAATGCTGTTGTCAGCTCTCTCAGGATTGCAGCTGAGTGGGGCCAGCCCCAGGCATGGGAGCACCCAATTGTTTCAGGCTTTGGAAGGTAGGGCTGATCCACTTTGTGACTGTTTTGAGAATCACAAGTCTGCTGCAGCTGACAAGCCCCACTGCCTACAGGCCCACACACCCCATGAACACAGTCCTGCCACATGAACATGCCCCAACCCACTGAAGCAGACCCACTCGCCCTGCTGCAGAGGTCACACATACTCTGCCAGTGCAGGCCCGCGTCTCACACACACCCTGCCCTGCAGAGGCAGATCCACTCACCCTGCTGCAGAGGTCCCATGCACCCCACCTGTGCAGGCCCACAAGTTGCCAGAGGGCTTGCTGTTGGGTGGTTGCTAGTCCCTAGGGCAGGCTGCCTGCCCTGGCTGAGCTGGATTAAATTGGTGCTCTAGTGGGTGGGGCAGACCCCTGCACTAACAGGCCAGAGTAAGAACTCCAGTGGTGTCTGCCAGCTTCTGTGTCAGCATACCTGTACTATGTCACAATAATGGCTGCTGCCAATGTCTCAGTCCCTGGAGAGGTGGTTCCAGCCTGGGGAGGTCTCACTTCTCACCAAGATGCACCCAGAGCCTATCAAGTGCGTCTTTTTCACCAAAGGACTGTGCACCTTTCTTTCTGGTAATTTTAGGTTGCTCTCTGAAACAGGTGAATTTGTATGTGGGCCCTTTAAGAGCAGGCTTTCTTCCCCCTTATGTCCAATAGCATTTTTGGGGTATTCCCCATTGTACTTAATAGCCAGCAAAGCCAGGTATTATGACACCTGCTTCAGTTGTGCTGAGTCCAAAACCTGCTTATTGTGATAAAGCTCTCCTGCTCAGATCCCCGACTCCTCTAGGAAAGGCTTCTTAGCCTAAGATTGCACCTGGCTGGCAATGAATTGCCAGGGCTAGAAGGTGGCTTTTTCCTCTCCAGAGAGGAATTTCTGCCTCTTCCACCTGAGTCAGCACTGTCCCTTGTTGTGGGAGTTCTTTTCATCCAGCTTTCAGTTCTCTCAGGGGTAGTTGTTCCAGAGTAGTTATCAATTTGTTGTGTCCATGGGAGGAGGTGAGTTCAGATCCACCTATGCCGCCATCTTGACACCAGATCTGATGGTACTTTCTAGGAGTCCAGTGTGATATAAGGGAAAGAGCCATGGCTTAGAATTTGGGAGACGTGGGTTTAGTCCCAGAGGTCAAGCCAATGCAAGCTTGCATAAGCCATTTACTCTCCTGGGATCTTGTTTATATTTATCTTTATTTATTTATTTAAACTGTAAAAGGAGAGCCTTACAACGTTTTCCTATCAATCTTAGACCACAGACAAATAAAATATCAAATTTTCCATTGTAGATTCCTGAATCAAGATTTTCTGTCATAGATTGGTTGAAGGGAGGTAAGAAGGAGAGGAGAGGGGTACAAGGAGCTGAGATGTTACTGAAGAGGAAGATGGAGAAAGAGGTACACATGATGCTGGAAGTGTTTGACTCAAGAATTCTCAAACCTAGGTTGGGAAAGAATGGTTGAGCTACTGAAACATTTACCTTCATCAGATTTTTTCTTGTTTATAGTGTCAACAAAAGTAAAATTTGTTTGGGAAAGCCCAAGACTCCAGACAATAAGGAAGAAATTAATGAGCCCTGGTGGTTATCCAGATCATAAAATTAAAACAGGAAGCAGAGCCAATTCTCTCTGACATGTAGTCTGAAGTTGTAGTCACCACACTTGTGTGAAGATGCTTCTAACTGGTGCTGGTCCACGGGTGTCGTAGTAACCATGGCTGTGTGTGTCACTGGTCTCCCCTTTCCCACATCACTCTGGGCATTGTATCAACACACCAGGCCTTTTCATCTGTATAGCAACAGACTTTGTCCCAAGAATAAAAGTGACAGGATTACCAGCCCCTTAGACATCAAGGAAGGTCAAGGTGGCAAGCAGGGAATGTCACAGGGTCCCAGCTCTGTTGCCATCCGCTCTTCCCTCCTCCCTCCACATTGAGCTTGCCTCTAGCTGGAATTCCATGTTTCATCTTCTTGTTTGTGTTTTTGGGTTGCGTTTAGTGTGGTTTTGTTTTTTCGTTCCCTTGTTTTACATGAGGAAATGGTGGGAGGACAGGGCAGGACTGGGAAGAAACACAGCCCTTCCTTCCTGTCCTTATTTGGATCCAGAATTCCCACTTCATCTCTACGTCTCCATAGAGACATAGAGTCCCCTGAGGTCACTTCCCAGTATCAGTCAGAGGTCTTTACACGGTGAGAACTTCTTTTCTTTCTTGGTTTCCTCTACATCAAGCTTGCCTCTGTTTCCCTATAAGTCACCCCTCACTCTGCCCTTCAACAAACCTAATTCCCTGCCTGAGACTGGAAAGGAGTAAAAGGTGAATGCAGACCATCTAAGAATCATCTACAGACTGTCCACTCCATTTGGTCATTACATTTTTGGTGATGATCACAATGGGCAGGTGGACCCTGGGAAATACCCCGGGTGATCTCTGCTTTCCAGAGCTTGCAATGTAAGTGGGGAAAGAAAAACCTATTGTGTGAAGAGTTGAAAACAGGAGAGTTAATCCCAATACCAGATGACACAAGGCAGGCCGAGGTTAAAAGTCTAGTGAATGGCATAGGTGTTGAATATGGGACAGTTTAGGAGAGAGTTTCCAGTGGTGCCCATCTGAATCCTGATGTGGATGGAATTCGTTTGTGGTCACCACATGGCCCCATTTAACACTGAAATCATAGGTCTTCCAGCTGAGGAAACTGAGGCTCAACCAGGTCATGTGGAAGCAGTGAGCTCGGGTCTCCTGACCACAGGCTTAGAGCTCTTTGCACTAGGGGGCACTACCCTGGAAGAAGGTGGATTGAGCAATGAGCTGGGAGAAGCTCCAGGCACCAGACCACCCAGGGAGGGAAGTGAATATGAAGGCTCTTGAATGTGGAGGTGGGGCTCTCTGTTAGGGAAATAATTGGCCCAAGCAAGGACAGCAGTTGACCTGCGTGACACCTGCCATCCTCTCAGATGGTGGCCAGGAGCCAATTTTATCTTAAAGACATGTTTGTTTGGTCTGCACAGTGGTTTAAAATGTGTGCATTATTTGCCCATATTAAAAAATGCGGTGGTGATTTTGCTCTCAGACACACACACGCACACACGGACACACACAAACTCAGGTTACTAACTTCTCTTGAAAACTGGACTCCCTGGTGACACTGATCCCCCTGTTCTGATGGCAACTTTGAGCTGGAACTGTGTAGTGACTGCCTCTTTAGATGGGGCACAGCCCTGCAGCTCTGCAGCTGCCCACAGGGCTTGGCCCCTGGAAGCTTCTGAGTTTGCATACCTCAATTTAGATGGGGATCCTGTAAGGGAAGGTGATAATTATTGCACTGTAGCAGGCCCTTGATTTCAGTATTCTGTTACAAATTTGAGAGGGAATTATGATGTGGTAGAAAGGGACAGAAGGCTTGGATTCAAACCCAGTTCTGCCATATATTTGTTGTGTGACCTTAGTTAAAACAGTCAACCTCTTCCAGTTTCGGCTTCATGATCTTTTGATTGGGTGTAATGATACCCACTTCCAATGAGGACGTGAGAATTATGTGAGTTAATAAAACTGTAAGAAGTGTAAGTGCTACCTATATTGTTTTAATGCTTATTTGTGGAAGTACGCAATCTGAGATGCATTGATTCTACAGAATATTCCTCAAAATGCTTTTGGAACCTTTGTTAAAGTGTCAGTTTCAGGAAAAAGCTGCAATGAGTCTCTCATAACTTTGAGGCGGTCACGGACACAGGGTAGGGGATGGCAAAGAGGTATCAGAAGAGAGGCTGCCTCCTCCCTGCCCCATAACTTCCGGGCCATCGTCCTGGTGGCTGTCCCAGACATGCTCCCCCATTTTGCCATTTGAACAGGATATTGTATATTTTTTATATATCAGAAAGAGGATCAGAATTGAAAAGAGTTGTAACTGGAGCCCTTTTTGAAATCCACCTTCAAGGTGAGAGCGTATTTCAGAAAATCTAAACTTGATTAACAGGGAAGGATGAGCGAACCACGCCCTTCTTGTCCTGGGAGAGCATCAGAGGCCTGCTGGGGACTGATTGTAGGGTTGTGACAACGATGCCAGCATTCTTTGGAGATGGCGGCGCCTCATAAAGCTCTTAAAGAAGTGGATTCATATATCAGGTATTTCAGGCCCAAATTCTCTTTGAACACACTTTTTGGTTTGTCTTTGTCCCGGCTCACTGAGTGGTTATTATGGCGGTGCATGTGGGCAAGTGGTCAGCTGACCACAATGACAAGTGCTTCCCGCCTCTGGTTTCAGGTGTATAATTCTGTTTCTTCCTTCTTTCCAGCCTCCACTCTCACTCCATCTCCCCTAACCCTGTCAACCACTGCACTTAAAATGCCATTTTGCCTTTTCATTGTGATTCCTTCGTGAGAAGCAATTGGAGCGACCACATAAACGCTGCCCAGAGACCTCTGTCATCTTCTGGCTCAAACAGAAAAACCATAGCTACATGATTGTTGAGCATGGTCCATGTTTATCTAACTTCCCAGACACCTGAGAGTTCACATAACTCAACATTTCTAAAATTGCCATGTGTTCAGACAAGTCTTTTTTTTCCCCCCTGCTTGTTTAAAGCTTTGCTTTCTGAAAAATACTCCTGAGAGAGATGCTGGAAATATGTGAAGGTAATAGCTTTGGGGGCCGAGTAGGTAACTTTGCATCCTCAGGCCACAAAGCAAGAGTCTGCTTTCTCCCTTCCTGGGAAATTGAGAGATGCCAGACAAAACGTCGCTCTAGTTCTCATTATTATGTGCTTAAAATAGGCTGGGCTCAGGCTCTTTCACAAAATGCTAGTCCTTGGACTGAAGCCAAATGTGTAAATTTTAGTTTAAATAAGTGCTTAATAGGAAAAGCAAAGGGGGAAGCCCTTGAGGCTTCACTCAAGGCCCCTGGTGGCCTTAGCTCTGGCTTGCCACATCCCTCTGGCATTAGAGACCTACCTAGACTTGGTGAGCCAGGCTCAAAGCAAGAGCAATGAGTGTCTTTCTGCAGGAGGCGGGAAGGAACCTGCCCATCCATCAGAGGGGATGCTGATGAGTGAGATGGCCCTCAGCTTTTAATTCAGACCTCTGTAATACTACTTTGCTTTCCTGGTTTTGTCGGAGCATATTTGTACATTACTGGATCATGGGGAGATGGTGAAATGTGGATCTTACTGAGCTGAATTGCTTCCACTTATTCTCCAGCCACTCAGCAGTGACGGTGATGCTGTACATTGAAGGTGATGGAAACAGTTTAACTGTGTGACGGGGATTGGCCTCAGGAGTTGATCCTTTGCATGTCTCCATGCAAAGCAGGCATGTGGTGTGGTGGGCTATGGCCTGTTAGGACACCATTTTTCTTACTCTGGATTTGTATTTGAGCAAGTTGTTCTCAACTTGCACATGGCTTTCCCAGGAAACTGGGGGCAGGAGGGGAGAGCGTGGCAATACTTTTGTCTTCTAGAAAGCTGTTTCCACACTCTGGTGTTTGCTGGTAACTGAGGAGACATAACTTATTTCAAGAATCTGATCCCTGCCAGGGTCTCCAGGTAATGACTCATCTCGGGTGAATAGAAGCTGCTATCCGTGGTTACCACCCAGCTCACCTGAGGAAAAATACTCTTCTGAAGAATATTATTGGATTATTGTTCCAATTTTTAAGATTCAAAATCTCTACAGCTTCAATGAGAAGATTAAGAAAATGAGTATCTTGGGGCCAGCGCAGTGGCTTAGTGGTTAAGTTTGCATGCTCCGCTTCAGCAGCCCAGGGTTCACGGGTTCCGATCCTGGGTGTGGACTTCACACTACTCATCAAGCCACGCTGTGGCGGCATCCCACATAAAATGGAGGAAGATTGGTAAAGATGTTAGCACAGTGACAGTCTTCCTCAAGCAAAAAGAGGAAGGTTGTCAACTGATCTTAGCTCAGGGCCAATCTTCCTCACAAATAAAACAAGAAAAAAAAAAGAAAATAGGTATCTTATTATCAACATGACTCAGTACGGAAGGAGAAAGTGTCCTTAAGCAATGGGGTTGGCAAAAGGCAAGGTCTTAGCAGGATGATAGTCTAGGCATACATCTCTTGCAGATGGAGCTGACAGGAGCAGTAGTTTTCAGTCTTCCATACCTTAAGTCTGACTAGTCATTCTAACCACATGAAGTTGTCTGGGCAGCATTCAAAGCCATGTTCTATCTCGTTATTAAACCAGCCAGAGATATAGGGAAAGGGCTCCTGGGCTGAGGGGGCAAGGGTCCAGCCCATTGGCTCTTCTTGCTCTGTACCTGCAACATGTCCTCAGTGTAGTCATCAGGATGAGTTCCATGAACTCCTGCTAGCTCAGGTTGGCTTCCACATTTGGCTTTGGACTAGGTGAATGGAAAGGACAGGAACACAAAGATTAGCTTCGACACGTTGTATTCTTGCTGGCAGAGAGGGAGACTGAAGAATCAGGAGATATGCAAAGCACCTATCATGTGGGTAGTCACATAGGGCCTGCTAATGCTTGTAGGTGCATGTGGGAGTTGAGGAAGAAGAAGGTCTCAGGCATTTTAATGAAAGCCCTGTGTCTCTCCTAGACAAAGGTAACAAATAGTAATTGAGAATGCCAGCTGAGAAAAGTTTCTAGAAAGTTCTTTCATTTCATTCAGCAAAAACATACTGAGTATTATTATGAACAACATGCTGTAGGTAAATAAGACATAAAACACCAAGTTTTTGGGTCTCAAAGGCTATCTGGTCATCATGGGGACATAATCTTTTATGATACTTAATGCCATCCCCATATGTGTTCCCCCTTGAGAAATTACTTTTTGAATTTAGTGCCAAGAAAACCTTGTCTGCTGTGGGAAAATGGTCTACATCTTCTTTTTAGACATGAGAATTTTGTAACATCATGTTTCTATTTCTACCCTGTGAAAAAGCTGGGGTTCTAGGATGCAAACCACAGAAATCAATTCTAGCTGTCTTAGGCAGAAAAGAGGAATTTGCGGAAAAGATATTTAAATCAAAAGATGCAGGGCCAGCCCCTGTGGCCTAATGGTTAAATTCAGTGTGCTCTGCTTCCGCAGCCCAGGTTTGGATCCTGGGTGCAGACCTATACCACTAGTCTGGCAGTGGCCATGCTGTGGCAGAGGCTCACATGAAAAAGAAAAGAAAGGGAGCTTGGCAACAGATGTTAGCTCAGGGTGAATCCTCCTCAGCAAAAAACAAAACAAAACAAAACAAAACAAAAGATATACACTTAGGACCTGGCCATACCACTGACTCACTCAGGGGCATTGGAAAAGTCATTTATCCTTTTCAGATTTCACTTTATTTGCCATTCAGGGAATGTTGTCCAATCGGAGTGGAGCTCTGAAAATAGATGGCATTCTCAAAACCAAGTTTGGAAAACAGATAGGAACCAAAGGCACTATGGAAAGTGAGGCCCAAGAAGTTGGTTCTTCTGCTGCTGGGCCAAGGTGTGTAAGCAGTCAACTGCTTCCATCATGACGGGTCACTCACTCAAGATTCAAGTCCTGAGAGAACCTTCTGACTGGCCAAGCTTCAGTGTGGGGAGCTAGTCCCTTTGATGACTACAGTGTGAGGGACCACCACTCTTAAGATTAATGAGACAGTCTCCAAAGGGAAGTTTAGTAGGCTAGACAGGATGGATGGATGCTGGATAGCAAAAAAATGATGACCAGGAACACAGAGGCAAACTGACGTTCAAAAATGGAAGCTCTATCAACCCTTATAAGGAGCTTATTTGTTCTTCCTGCCTTTCTTGGTTTTGATTTTTTTTCTTTCTTTCCCTTTTGTTATTCTTATTGTACAACATTTCTTGAACAGCAAGGAAAGTGAGATTGGAAAAGGAAAATGCCTTGCTCACCATCCCTGAGTTAACAAGTGGTGCAGCCAGGACCTGAATTTGTATCTTTTGATTTCAATTTCAGTGCTCTTGCCTTTCCTACGAGTTGGTGCAATGCAAAGTGGAGGGTGATAAATGTCAAGAAAGGTACCCCAAAAATGCTAGGGTTGTTCTGAAGAAGAACATGTCTTGAGGTTTGGAGAAGGTTATAGATGTACATGGTTAACAGCAAATATATATTCCTAACTGAAGGAAGATGCATCTGTTCTCTCTTGTAAACCTACTTACCGGCTGGCACAGAATGTTCTTCTGTCGCCAGGAAGGTTGCCATGCTGAAGATGGGGAATGGTTCCTTTCACATTTTCTCCCTGGCTGAAGTCATCTCAGGATCTGGGGCCTATGTTTAGACTATTCCTCTCTCTGGGAAAGACCTGTCCTATCATCCAAATGCATCTGACCTTAATTTTCTTGCCTTTTAAAAAAATGTTTTATGGGGGAAACTACATGTTTATTAAAGAAAATTTGGTAATACATCGACAAACAAACAAAAACCAAATGACCACTCAAAACTCTGCTGTTGGGGCCGGCCCCATGGCCGAGTGGTTAAGTTCGCACGCTCTGCTTCTGTGGCCCAGGGTTTTGCTGGTTTGGATCCTGGGCGCGGACATGGCACTGCTCATCAGGCCACGTTGAGGCGGCGTCCCACATGCCACAACTAGAAGGACCCACAACTAAAATATACAACTATGTACCAGGGGCTTTGGGGAGAAAAAGGAAAACTAAAATCTTTAAAAAAAAACCCAAAAAACAACTCCACTGTTAATATTTTGGTTATTTAATTTTTTATATGTATGTGTGGGTATATATGTCTTTTCTTTTTTGAAAATTAAGGTTATATGATATAAATAGTTTGATATCTTTCCTTTATCACGACTTAATCTTGTGCGCATCTCATGACATGAAATTTTTGGCCCTTGAATTCTTAATTCAATTCAATAACCATTTATTGTGCATCTAATTTGAGGTCACTGCTGGGGATCAGAAATCTTCCCTGTCCTCCAGGAGCCGTGTTCTCCTCCACTTTTAATCTATACAGGGAGAAGGAAAGGGAAGAAGTCAGCAATCACAGAATCAAGAGAGCAACCCTGGGCACCAAGCCTTCAAAGTGATGATTATCTTTCTATATTAAAGATTTCAAAGAGTTCGAAATACTTCCTCCTGCATTTTTTTGAAAGTAGAGGCATATGAGTTGTTTTTTGCATGGAACCACATCTAAAGCAACACAGTTCTGCAGAAATGCTGCTAAAAATATTTTTTAAAAAAGAATTAATTATTTACCAGGGTCTCTCTAAGTTACTAAACAGGAGCCAGGTCATAAGCCATCCGGAACTGACTTACTCGTCTCCTCTTTGCAGTCCTTGGGTCTCGAGGACTGTCTCCCACAACAAACTCAAGCTCTCTCCTCTCTCTTCTCTTCTCCTCTCTCTCCTCTGTCTTGTTATGTGGATCACTTAGCCTCTTTTCTAGAAAACAAAAGTCCTTTCTCTTTAAGAGGAGGAAGGGGAAAACTGTAGGAATTTAGAATTCTTTTTAAATAGCAGGGGAGAGAGACCCTGTGAGCACTGGTCCTTTAACATCTCTACAGCTCTTTCCAGGCTCTTGCCTCTCTGTCCACAGAAGTGACCAGCACTGGCACGGGCACCTGGGAGGAGCTGGGGAAACTCTTGCTAAATAGAATCGACCTGAGGAGCCAGGCAGCAAGGCACGTCGCACACACAGGCCAGGGCTGGGGCTGGGAGCGGGGCAGAAGGACCACAGCAGACGTTGTCCCTGAGTTGCCCTTGATGCCTTTTCACATCACCGCATTCCCCCCCAGCCCTGCAGTGGTGGCCTCCAAAGAAGGGCTGGGATGACATTCCCCTGTCAAATCACGAAAACTCTGTCCTCCTGGGGAGCAGGTCCCAGGACCACGCACTGGCAGGAGATGGGTGTGGGTTAAGATTAGGATTTAAGCTCTTGCTTCTTCTCTCAAGCTGGTAGCTCGACCACAAGAAGCTGCTTCCGTTTGGCTCTTTTAGCTCAAGGATGTCAGATTTATGAAAGAGTTTCAGAGAAACTTAGATTTCTGCAGTCACTTTGCTAGAAAATTGGCTCTTGATTTTGTAAATGGGAGGAGCACAGGCTCTGTCAGGACCTTGTTTGTTTGTTTCTAGCTTTGGTGGTTTCCTTGGCCTCCCTCCTGATTTTCTGGGGGAAAATCATGGTCTTGTCTCAATTCACGCAGCTTCAGCTGTGGTTGTGTCGGACCTGCTCTGCTGAGTGTGGAGCCTGGGCCACCTTGGCCGTGAGCCCAACTGGGAAGACCCGTGAAGGGGGCAGTGATGTCGGTCCCTCATGGTGAGTGAGTCAGTGAAGGCCTCAGTCCTCCCTCTGCCAGGCTGGGTAAGGAAAGGGGCGTTAAGTCTCCAGCAGCTGTTGGGAGAATGGGGGTTGGTTTCTGTGTTTAGATCGTAGAACTCTCTTCAGGGTTCTACTTTCCTTGAAAGTCAGAAAAGAACCAGAAGCAAATATGAGAAACAAAATGACCCCAAAGCTGGGGATCTTGAATAGTCATTTGTTCATCCCTAAATTCCTTCAGGAATCTAAGCATTCAGGCTCCAGAGGAAAGCGGACCTGAATTTGAAGCCTGTTTCTGCCACCAGCCAGTGGCACATGCTTGGGCAAACGGCTTTACCTCTCAAAGCCCCAGGTTCTTTATGTGTAAAGTTGGGAAAATAACAGCAATCTCCTCAGAAGATTGTTAGGATTAAGTGAAAATAAAAAATGCATGTAGAGCATTAGTCCAGAGCCTGCTACGTGGTCTCAGCTGTTGCCTGGTATTATTTTTCTTGAAACCACCACCCCAGAAGACCATGAGCGTGGTCAAAGAGTAAGCGGACACAGATCCTGCCCTGAGGTAGCTTATGTTGGGCAATCATGACAGAGGACGTGACAGGAGCCAGGAGAGAAGGCGAAAGGGACACGTAACAAGTGGAATCAAAGGTTGTTCAAACGTGGTGGGGCTCGAAAATGAAAGCTGAATGTCACAGAGTGACAGAGCTTTCTGACAGAGCCTGAGCACGATGGGAAAGGCAGAAAAGAGGAGCGATGGAGAAATTCAAAACAAAATAGGTGAGCAGGTTGTCATCAGGCTGACAGGAGGTAAACAAAGGGAGAAAGCAGACTGGGATAAATAAATTGGCAACCAACGTGGTGATGAAGACGAGCCTACCGGCCAGGACAGTGAGAGGCAGCCACCACTAAGGCTAGAACAGGGCTGGAGATCTCAGACTACAGAAAGAAAAATGAATGCAGACTTGCACAGATTTTTCTCATGCTTTGATTGTTTTCCTCCCACAACACTCAGAAATCCACCCTGGATTTCTTGGAAAGGATGCCAGGGCGCTGTCCTAGCCTTGCCACTCCCTTGGAGATTTCACAGTGAAGTTCCCGGGATGCGATGAACGGTCCTGAGAGTGATCAGCACAAGTTGCCGAATGTGGGGACCCCGATTAGAGCAGATGCCGGCTGCGTGAACTATGTCCAGACATGGAAATTGTGCTCCTAATCTCTCCATCTTGCTCTCTCTCCATTCTGTGACAATGCGCCTTCTCTGTAAACACTCTCACCACAGGAACAGAGCTGGAAACACGTGCAATCTGCGGCTGCAGCAGCTACAAAGCGGGTTATGAAATATGCTCACAAATAGCCTGCTTGCCCCATAGGCATGCAAAGCAGTCGCACAGCCGGGTGAACGTGTCAGGTGGCAGATTTCGCTCTGCCACACTCAGAAACGCCCAGAGTGACCTGGGCCAGTGGACAGAGTGCCCGCGCAGCTGTGAGCCACGAGTCCCTGGCATCAGTTCCTGCTCCAGTGGAGGCAGTGTCCAGCCTCCCAGGAGATGCCAGGGCTAAACTGTGTGATGCTATGGTTTATTGTAAGAAATATCTATTTGGTCTTCATCCCCATTTCTGGCTCACAGCTCCCCAAACCCTTGGAATATTCTAGTATTGAGAGTGAAAAAGGTGTCTTCTGTTATGTTAATGAGGTGACTTTTGGAAAGCACCTAAGGATAGGGACTGGTTTCCAGGAGAACCAGCCATGTGATCAGAGGATTGGAACTTTCAGTTCCACCCCCTGATTTCTGGAGAGTGGGGTGCTTGAGGGTGAATCAACTGCCAATGGCCAATGGCTTAGTCAATCACAACTACATAGTGACACCTCCATAAACACCCAAAAGGACAGCTTGTCCCCTTTTCCCAGAGAGCTCCCACACTGGGGAACCAGAACGCTTCCATATGCTACTGTGCTGAATCCCAAGCTCCAGGGCGACAATGTTTTGCTTCCAGTGCTTTGCTTGGGACCTTGCCATATGTATGTCTTCATCTGGCTGTTGATTCATGTTGTAATAAATCAGTAATCCAGTGAGCAAACAGGTTTTCTTGAGTTCTGTGAGCCATTCTAGAAAATTCATTGAACTCGCCGAGGGGGTTGTTGGAACCTCCAGTTCGTAGCTGGTTGGTCAGACACGCAGGTAACAAGCTGGGCTTGTGACTGGCATCTGAAGTGGGGGACAGTCTTGTGGGTCTGAGCCCTTTACCTGTGGGATCTGATTCTATCTCTGGGTAGATAGTGTCACAATTGAGTTGAATTCTCGAACACCCTGCTGGTGTGCGAGCACTGCTTGCTGGCGTGGGGAAGCCTTCACGCACACACATGTTCGAATTGGGTCCAGGAACCCTTTTGCATCCTCCTATCCTACCTACCCTGAAATTCTCATCCCTAGCAACATTTATTTGGGTTAAAAGTTTGAGGTTACATAATGTTACTTGAGACAAGAAGATAAAAGTGTGGCTCCTGCCCTTAGAATCTACTTAACGCCCCGCTGGCTCGTCCCCTGGCAGGGCGGGATGGTACAGCTTTGTTCAACACACAGTGAGCGGCAGGGAAAGGCTGTTGGGCCGGGTGCTCGATGGCAGGGCAGGCGAGGCTCACAGGTGCAGGTCTGCTCTCTGCTGGCGCTGGGGCGAGGAGAGGCTCACTGCTAGCGGAGCGGAGTGCTGCTGTCCTTATATGTCTGCTTTCATCTCCAGCACCAATGCTTCTGTGACCTTTGGCCCAGTCACTTCGGACCTCTTGCTTTAGCCTTCTCTGCCAAGTGGCAAGGTGCTCATAAAGGGGAAAGGAGTCAGCTGACTGTCCCTTAGCACGTGTCCTTGGAGTTGGAGCTCAGTCAACTCAAAGAATTACTGAATGCGATTGCAGAGGTCCCAGGGGTATTTTTGTCAGTACTGCTTTTTGAGGCTGAAGACACAGAGTCGTCCATGTTCTGGTGGGAAAGACCACTGGGCTAGAAGGCAGGAGACCTGGGCTCTGAGCCAGCTCTGTCAGCAGCTGTGTGAGTTACTGAACCTCTCATGACTTCCCTCAGTTGAGCAAGACCAAGACCTGGAGCCCAAGAGAGGACCCTGGGCAAATGCAGGGGCTAGGCTGGGGCAGCAGAACGTGCTGAGGGCAGTGTGGAGGGCACGGCCAAGGCTCAAAGAGGCCAGCCTTCTCTTTTGTGGAAGCCCAAAATGAAGCCTTCTGCCCGCTCCTGCCTCCCATCCATACCCATAGCCTCCCTTCCCTTTCCAGGCAGCCAGGTTGGTCCTGGCCTGGACTGGGTTTCTGTTTTGTCAAAATAACGCCTAGGTTTCTGCAGGCAGAACACCACTGGGAGTAGCATGAATTCACCTTTGGTTTTGGGGTGGAACTTGAGTGGCTTCTCCAGGTGCGTCATGTCTTGGCTTAGACCATCCTCTAGCTAAAGGGCTGTACTTTACACCCTTTTATGGGAAGCACACAGTCTTCCATCCCACCCCAGGTTGGGGCTGGGTCGGCATGACCCAGGCGAAGCATTTGAGGCAGGCCAGCCTATTCATAGGGTCAGGCTGGGCATCCCATTGGCCTGTGCCTTATAGTTGAGCTGACACTTGTTTCGGAAGATCCTCTTTCGACTTGATGACCTTCACTCTGTCCTTCATAGACATTTTAGGGCAAAGGAAAAGTAAGGCCTGGTCCTTTAGTGACTTGAGCCATATCTTAAAATCAGTGTTGCCTCCCCTCCCCCACCCTGAGTCCAGCTCTTGGAGTCAGAGTTGTTGCCTAGGCTGGGACCCTAAGC